ATCCGTGTGACTTTCGCGCAGTTCTCTCAAAACTTCTGACAAATTCTGCCCTCTTTCGGGCTCGAAAATAAATCGCCTTTTACTGGTTCCCTGAAAATACCACGTTTACTGGAAAAGTGCACAGAAAATACCAAGAAATTCAAAATTTTACTAGGCAGAGAGTTGAAAATTACCTCCTCGGATACGGTCAGTTTTTCAAAGGTCTTCTTGCCAAGTGCTTCCAGTACATCAAGCGAGCCTGCGACAACATTCGTCCCGAAACCCGCAAAAAGTTTACCGTATGACGATATACCAACCCCTGTTTCCTCAGTTTTCTGGAAGTGGAACAAATTCAGTAAAAAAGACTGAGAAACGGATGAATGATGTTATAAGATGCATACGTCAACGAAGATCAGCATGCAGCAACTGATTAATTCAAGTTGAATAATTATCAAATCTCCTGCGCACGAAGATTTTCCAAGTAGCGTGGCAGAGAGGAATAAGGGTTAGTTTTTGGCTGGTTGTAATTAATTTCTAAATTCTTACTAAATTTGATATTCAAGAAACATGAAATTGGCAAAATTCCCACCAATATTTTTTACTCTTCCAATGAAAATTTTGTACCCCAAGTTATCCAAGTTAATTAATTACACGCAATTTAGTCTGTTAAAAAATATAAGGCCGAGAAGAGTGGCAGAACTTGTTTCAGGCTCCCGTTTTCTTCCAATCTCCTTGCTAAGAATATTCACTGCTTGTGTCTTTAAAATTTCTACAACACTTAATCCAAATCCGAAAGAAACTCGCAACAATTAGGCACAAAATAAACCAGAAAATGAGCAACAAAATGATGGCAAGTAGTAAGTACTACTACTCTCCTGCTGAAGGTTGAAAGTTCTCAGGGCAAGTGGTTCAAGGCTGAAAGTACCACTGTCCTGGCAAGTAGTTCCGGGACAGCCAAGCCCTTTGCGATGCAGTCGCTGGCAAAACGGTGCCAAGTATGCCAAGCATATAAAGATCTATCAAAAAAAAGAACCACCAAAGGACTTTCCACTAGCTGGTATTAACATTCTAGCTACCTTCTTAGCTTTTCGTCTCTCGGAGAACGTGAAAAACGGAGAGATACCGGCTTTTGATAATAAAAAAAATGAGGTCGAAAATGCCCGGTGCTTTGCATCTTTCGAAAAGCGGCTTAAATCGTGTGGCAAAAAAAGGCTGATGCAAATAATTTTAAAAAATTGTAATGAATTACGCAGTTAGCAAAATAATCTTGCGGAAGCTACAAAAATGATGTGCTTCTATGTCAAAACAATGAAATAACAAAGGAATAACCTCGACGGCGGCAGCATCATTCGCAGGCTTTTCATGAGCATCAGATTTTGCTAATTCTTCCGGTGAAGGCAATCCAAGACCCGCTTCAACCACACTGCTTATGTTTGTTAAGCCTTCACCTAAACAAAACATCTCTGATACTGAACCAATTGGATTTATTTAAAGCGCAAAACCGATAAAATCAACGAAGAAAAAGGAAAAACTTCTGGAAGCGAAAGTCAAAAATGAGAAAAAACTTGCACAAGAACAATGGCACTTTCAAGAATGTTCTCGTGGAAGAATTTTGCAGACGAATCCTCCTACAACTGACATTTTAAATATGAAAGAACCAGCGCTGGAATTACTTTATATTTAGCAGTTAATGAAATATGCCTCCGCTCAGCTGAGGCCCATTCTCTACGTGCACAAAAAACGTGCAGCCACCCGACATTATTCATAGGCATGGCGGTCCCAAGTGGAGCAGGATGAACTAAACTGCTTGCTGGAGGACATCGGAAGGGCGGGGGGGGGGGGGGGCCGATGGGGGAAATAGGGGA